CTGTCATGTTTCCACCTGTGACCATGCCCAAACAGCATGGTCAGTGCTACAGGTGTGGGCAGGGTGGGTATCTCACTACACTCGTGATCATTGTGGTAGACATAATTTCCTGGCCCTTAATGTCATTTGTGTTTTTTCGATGGTCCTGGCCGTGTAGGTTTATTTCACTGATTGTGTGCCGATGTGTGATTTCAGCTTGGCTTTGTTAGTGACAATCTGGTTCTGTTTTTGTTGCTGTCCAAACTTGGTTGATTTCAGATCAAGTAGGATGTGTTTGTATGTCATTCCTTCAGAAAGATAATGTTGAATTTTGATCATAGAGAGGTTGTTTCCAACTCAGCAGTAAGGCAGGGAGGCACAAGAATGCTGTTCCTAGCTGGGTCTGGGCATGGAACAGCATGGAGGGGGATACAACAACCTAGCTGGGACTAGAGCTGAAAGATGGAAAGGAGCCAAGGACCTGGGGTGGATTTACAGATAACAGTGTGCAATTTGGACTACTGGATGGGCTTTGGCACCAGGAGTAGTGCCAGGCAATAACTAGTACAGACTCAATGAGAATGTATGTATGTGGGTGCCACTTCCAGCTGGTCCTGGGCATGGAGGGGTTGTGCGAGGCAAAAGCCTGGGTAAGGAAAGAACCTGGGTTAGGATACAGGTGTCTCCTGCAGAGAGTGCAGGCTGGGAATCCTTTCTGTTCTTAAATGTCAGTGTGACAGGATCTCTCACTGTAGTTCAGGTTGGTTTCAAACTTAATCACCTGCCTTAACCTCTGGAAACCCTGGATTACAGAAGTATACTGCTATTCCCGCTCTGATTCCTTCAGGGTTTGTTCCCGTTAGTTTTAGACCCAATGAAGCAATTTCTTTTTGCAAAAAGATAATGCTCTTTCTGGCTTCCCAAACCTCAAATCTGTTCTTCCTTATCTCTGGAGCTCCATTTTGGTACTTCTAGTTCAGTCTTATTTCCTGTGTAGGTGCCAAAATTCATGGCATTTCCTCTGAGAAGGATTGGTGTTCCCTGCTATGAAATGAGCCTGCAGAGCTGAGTGATTCATCACTATCATAAAAAACATACCCATTATGTTAGAATTTCTTTTTTATACAAAAAGCTTAGTGAAGACTGAGGCCACATTTTATTTGTGCAACCCATTTATACCTAGAGATAGTATAATTATTTTTCCCTTTTAAAATTTAAAATAAGCTTGTTTTACATGTCAATCCCAGTTCCTTCTCCCTTCCCTCCTCTCCTGTCCCCCACCCACCCCCTATCCTATCCCCTTTCTGTTCCCCAGGGAGGGTGAGGCCTTCCATGGGGGAATCTTCAAAGTCTGTCACATCATTTGGAGCAGGGCCTAGGCCCTCTCCCATGTGTCTAGGCTGAGAGAGTATCCCTCTATGTGGAATGGGATCCCAAAGTCCATTCATACACTAGGGATGAATACTGATCCACTGCCAGACACCCACATTCAGGGGTCTTGCTCAGGCCCATGCTGGCCTCTTAGCTATCAGTCTGGGGTCCATGAGCTCTCACTTGCTCAGTTCAGCTGTTTCTGTGGGTTTTTCCAGCCTGGTCTTGACCCCTTTGCTTATCAGTCCTCCCTCTCTGCAACTGAATTCCAGGAGTTCGGCTTGGTGCTTAGCTGTGGGTATCTGCTTCTGCTTCCATCAGCTACTGGATGAAGGCTCATGTTGGTCTTTTTGTGACTGTGTTACCTCACTCAGGATGGTTTCTTCTAGTTCCATCCATTTGCCTGCAAATTTCAAGATTCCATTGTTTTTGTTTTTGTTTTTTCCACTGAGTAGTACTCTGTAGGGAGAATTCCCATGTACCTGTAGCTCTGACCACGACCGTTTGGTTGTGGTCACAGGTACTCAGAAGGGATGGTATAAAAGGACTAAGGAGGAGGCTCTCCCCCTCTCTTGGGGTTCAAGCCAGGTCTTGAAGTGCATCTGAGACTGGGCTTCTCTGAGTGCCAATATGGTTATTGGTTTCTTGTGTGAGTATTCCTTCTTAGTAAATATACCATTTAATAAGCATGTCCTGTGTTTGATCCTGTTCCCTATCAGTACTCCATTGTGTAAATATACCACATTTTGTCTATCCATTCTTCAGTTGAGGGGCATCTAGGCTGCTTCCAGTTTCTGGCTATTGCAAATAATGCTTCTATGAACATAGTTGAACAGATGTCCTTGTATGAATGTGCATTCTTTGGGTATATGTGATGGTGGCTCATGCCTTTAATCCCAGCACTGGGGAGGCAGAGGCAGGCGGATCTCTGTGAGTTCGAGGCCAGCCTGGTCTCCGGAGCGAGTGCCAGGATAGGCCCCAAAGCTACACAGAGAAACCCTGTCTCGAAAAACCAAAAAAAAAAAAATTGGACAGGAGAAACCAACAGAAGGAAGAGCCCATGATAAGGCACAAGAATCTGATACCCACTCATTTTCACACTCTGGAATCCCATAAAACCACTAAACTGGAAGCAATGATATATACACAGAGAACCAGGTACAGGCCTATGCAGGCCCATGCAGGCCCTGTGCATACCTGTTCATGCTGCTTCAGTTGGAGAAAACAAGTCCAGGGCTGGATCTAGAAAGGACCTGACTTATCCTTCTAGTATATATTTTATATATGCTGAATGTAAATTATATGTTCTTTAAAAAGGTATTACATTCATTCTCCACCCCCCCCGGTGTGTGTGTGTGTGTGTGTGTGTGTGTGTGTGTGTGTGTATGTTTTTGCAAGTGCTGTGGTGTATGTGTGGAGGTCAGAGGACAATTTGAAGTTACCTACTTCCATCATGTGGATTTGGGCGATCAAACTAACGTTGTATGTTTGGTAGTAAATGTCCTCTCCGCTGAGCCATCTCACTAAGCACCCCATGTTTTATTATATCTCCTTCACTTATTCTTGCTATCTTCAGTAAAATCTCATTAAAAGTCACAGAGTGGTATATAATGTGCTGTAGGAAATTATGTAAGGATGAGGGCACATTATGGGTTAAAAAGGCAAAAGGCAGTGAACAGCTCACCGTTCCCTTAATCCAAAATAGGAGGTATCCTTGTTTACCCTGTAGAAACAACTGTCCAGATTAGCAACCATGTTAGGGTCAGAGGCTACAAAATGATATCACAGATGAAGGAGTCGCTATAGAAAATGAACAACCTGTAAACCAGATAAAGCTATGTGTGTGAGGCCTATTTGAGGCCAACATGTTGCAATTATTTTACTTCTGAGAACCCATTTGTCTTAGTTTCTTTTGCTGTCACAGTGATCAAATACCCCGGCAAAAGCAATTCAAGGAAGGTTTTATTTCAGTTCACAGTTCAAGGGTATAGTTCTGAGTATTATTAAAGTGGGGAAAGATGTGTTACATTTGTTTATGCTGCAGAATATTACTTTAACAGTGTAAAGGTGCGCTACTTTTGTTTATGCCACATGTGCTTAATGACATAAGGATGTGTGTTTAATTATGTTAAGATGTGTTACATCTGTTTCACCTTGCCTGCCTAAGGCACCTGATTGGTCTAATAAACAGCTAAATGTCTAAGAGTTAGGCAGGAGAAAGGATATGTGGGGCTGGTGGGCAAAGAGAATAAATAGGAGAAATCTAGGCCTAAAGAGAGAGAAGAACGAGAGGAGGAGGAGGAGGAAGAAGAAGAAGAAGAGAGAATGAGATACACATCCAGGGCAAGAAGCCAGGCAGATGTCATCCAGTCATTCATGAGAAACAGTGAAAGTAAGATATACAAATTAAAAAAAAAAGAGATAAGCCCTGAGGCAAAAGGTAGATAAAAAGGAACAGGTTAAGTTGAAATAGATAACCAGAAATGTGCCTAAGCTAGGCCAAGCATTGACAACTAATAAATCTTGTGTCATGATTTGAACTAGTTGGTGGCCCAAAAGAAAAAGCCTGGTATAGTCCCCTCATGATGAGGAAGTCAAGGCAGCAGGAGCTTGGCAACACTATTGTTCAGCTTTGTCCACTTCCATAGTCCATAATTTCAACCAAGGAATGTTTCCACACACAGTGAGCAGGTCTTCCCTCTGCAGTTAACCTCATCAATACAAATCCCCACAGACTGGTCCAGAGGTCCAGATGATTCTAGCTGATAATCGACACTAGCTGTCATGCCATCAGAACTTCAAGACCTGTGGCTTCAGAGCTACATGTGTGAAGATATTACGACATGGACACATACACCCTTAGCATAACACAGCTGTCCTATTTTGGCTAGCTCCAAGAATTTGTAGATACAGTATATCTAGACTTTAGACCCAAGTTTTATCTTTTGCTTCCTGTAGTTTTGCATGTCAGAAGCAGCACAAATTTGATAAAACATTCTAAGGAAGAGCAGTGTGCCAGTGTAGAATGTGATTAAAATAGAAACATCATGGACCTTTTGGGACTATTTTAGTGTGTGTGTGTGTGTGTAGTATATATACTCATATAGTATAAATGATTCTACACAAAGAACCAAGACTAAATCTCTATGTTTTTAAAGCTCTGGAAAGAGGGATTATGTTTGCTTTTTTTACTCATTTACTTTTCATTTTCACAATTTCTTGAAGATGAATTAGAACATGTTATTTTTTAAGAAAATTGTGGGATTGGAGAGATGGCTCAGCAGTTACAAGCACTTGCTGTTCTTGCAAAGAACTTGAGTTGGGTTCCCAGCACCAAATTGGCAGCTTAGAAACAACCTTAATCTCAGTTTCAGGGGATCTGGTGACCTCATGAAGTGCACATACACACAAACAAAACACTCATATACATATATTTTTTTTTTTTAAAAAAGGAGTGTCGTTCCATCTGCACTTTAACTTATGTCCCTGCTCACATATTGCATGCTGGGTGAACTAAGATCCTTTTATACATGTTAACTGGAGGTCTTCAAACAAAAAACTTCTTGGAAAGAAACCTAGCAACAGTCCGGAGCCTCCAACCTACTTACTTCCTTCTAGTTGCAGCCGCTTGTGCAGGACCAAGTTCCACCATGCTGAAATGCCCCAAGTGCAACAAGGAGGTGTATTTCCCCAAGCGGGTGACATCACTAGGCAAGAACTGGCATCGGCCCTGCCTAAAGTGTGAGAAATATGGAAAGACACTGACCTCTGGGGGCCATGCCAAGCATGAAGGCAAGCCCTACTGCAACCATCCCTGCTACTCAGCCATGTTTGGGCCCAAAGCCTTTGGGCGAGGTGGAGCCGAAAGCCACACTTTCAAGTAGACCCAGGTTGTGGAAACTCCCCCTACCCTCCCAGGCACCTGCCAGGCCTTAACCCTAGACAGCAGGGGCTCTCTGTAGCCCTTCATGCCTTTAATAAAACCTGACCTGTTGGAAGGCCAAAAAATATATAAATTAGCAACACATTTAAGGAAGAAAAGAAAAGTCAGTTTTTTTTTTGGTTTTTTTTTTTTTTTTTTTTTTTTTCCAATTTTTTCCAATATGATGAAGCTGATTTATTCTCCTGTCAGCTCTACTGACTGTGGTTCATTAACAAAACCCAGTTACAGTAGCACAATCCATTGCAGGGCACAGGTTACCACCAATCAAGGCTATCTTTTATAGCCACAGTAACATTGAGAATTCCCTAGAATAAAGGTGATCAGAACAAGAAAAAAAAGATATGCATTTTGCCTTAAAAAAGAAAAACAATCAGTTTTAGAGATGTTAGCATCTCAAATCCAAATAAAGGCCTCAAATAATCAGGATGCTAATTTGTGATAAGCAAACATTGTTCAGTGTTCTATCACTGGAGTATAATTTCCAAATCTGTCCCTTTGTGTTAACTTACTTTTAGGATATCCTTCTTACTAGTATCATTATTTAGTCACTTTTCTTTTACTGTGTTTAGGACAATCCACATTAATAGTGGAAAGGTTTACTTTGGCTCAGAGTTTTGTGTATTTCAGTCTATTATCTTTCCCCATTGCTATTGGGGCCCCTGGTAAGGACAGGAGCCTGAAGTAGGAGCAGCTTCTCATCTCATACCAACCAGAAAGCAAGGAAAAGAAGACAGGCTGGGATTCCCCTCATAACACATCCCAGAAACTTCCTTTCCTTCTTAGACCCCACTGCCTAGACATTCTATCACTTTCCCATATGCCATGGAGCTAAGGACAAGTGTTTAACATAGGCCTTTAAGGGTCATTCTAGAGCCACACTGTAGCACTCCTCTTACATTCAAACAGTAGTTGTTCAAGGTCTTAATTTCTCTGTTCTAAATGGTATTAATGCATAGTAACTAAGATCTCAAAATTAGAAAGTATTTTTAGCTCCAAAGATCAATTAATACAAGGGCTTTCCATTATAAATTTCCCATTTCTCCAAGTGTTATGACTACAAGGACAGCGTGCTGTAGCAAAAGTGAGTATATTTGCAGGAATTATCCACTAGGGCAGGGCTCATGATTTAATTATCCATCTAGATCCAAACCACCCAACTCTCACACATGAAATTTAAACAATATTTAAAAATGTCAAGTGTTGATCTAACAATCATTTGCAAAAGTCTCTGATCTTTGATGGCTCCTTCAAATCCACTCTTACATGTTCTGCATCTGGTCTTGACAGTGTTCACCATTTAAATAAGATCATCACAGTCATACTGCTTGCTATTTACATCTACCAATGCAGTTGTTTTTCCTGTGTCTGAAGGTTTCTTGCATTAAGATATTAATTAAACTGATATATGTTAGTCACTAAGACAATTGGTTTATAGGCAATTCAAAAGACTTAGACCCTGGATAAAGGTGCCTGCTATCAAATTTGATGACACTAATTTGATACCTGGGATCCACATAGTGAAAGGATATAAAAGCAACCTCTGCAAATTTCATCACAGCACATACAAGTGCATACACACACACACACACACACACACACACACACACACACACACACACACACTTTTTTAAAAGCTCTAATTTTTCAAAGAGCTTTCTTCATTAGTAAAATAAATCTATCTTTTAGTTTTATTACAGAGATTTTGAAGCAGATGGCATCACAATATAAAACCATCCATATAAAAATGGCTACTAACATAGGCAAAGAAAATCTGTCTTTCCCTTTCAGCTTCATCAATGGTCCTCAACTTACCCCCAAGTACAAACGTCTCATAATAACTTAAGAGTCTTCACAATGAGAACTGCATCCTTGCCCATACTTCTTCAAGTCTATATGTCAAAGAGAATGATCTTTTGGCTTGGATTTTTTTATTTCAAATATGATTTTCCTCGTGCTTCAAAATATGATGTATCTATAGTTATTTCTCTGTGTCAAAATTCCCATTTTGCTGCTAAGATTTACATGAAGATATATGTCACTAACATACTGTCATTCCCCCATCTATTTCCTCCAGGCATAATAAATAATCATTTTGTATTCGAAAAGTCAGCTTTTGAGAAGAATAGTTTTACCTTCCTGTAAATTATTATTCTAACCAGCCATCCATACTTAGATTCTAAAAGAGAGAGGTGGCCTATTAGTAAAGTCTAAGGAATACATCTTTGCAATTTTTATTATGGAAAACTTCAAATATATACAAAAGTATAGAGAATAATGAATTCTCAAACATCTATCACACAGCTTCAACAATTTTCAAATCAGAACCAATCTGGTTTCATTTATATATAAACTTAACCACCCTGATGATATTGAAGCAAATAACAGTAGCATATCTGTAAATTTTCAGTACACTTTTCTAAAAGATAAGGGTTTCTTTAGAAAGTAAAACCACAATACATATCACAAATAGAAACTCCAGTAAATTATAAGATGTGGTTTTATTTCAAAGTCTGTAAGATATGGGGACACAATACATTTCACTGATACCATGAGGAAGGGTGTTAACACTAAATTGGAGTTCAAGCCTTTCCCAATAGAATGGTTTATAATGAAAAAGTAAAACACAACAACCATATTAGAACCTCTTTGGAACCCTTGTAGTGAACTGAATAAGAGTGTTGACATCACACAACCCTGTGGCAAAACTCCATGAAATTTCCTTGTTCTTGTCATAGGCTTATTCTTCTGGAAAGAGTTGACCCAAGCTCCCTCATTTAAATTCTTCATTTTGTGTTCCCCTTTTACAGCAGTCTTTTTCCCTGAAGCCTTTCTAAGTGACACCAATTTAGCACTCTAAGCTCTCTGCAATTTTACATGCAGAAAGCATATGGTACTGAGAAGCTGGTTGAGCGGACTAGGAAAGGGATGAGAACCACAGCCAACTGAAACAGTGAAAGAGGCAAAAGACACTTAGGCAACTAAATGGAATAATTAGCTCTGAAAACCTCCTTCGTGCTCACTATCAAGTATTACAGAACATCAAATCTTTAAAATAAACAAAAAATAGCATTTTCTGCAAGGAAATGTTGACATTTAAGAAGTAGATAAAGCATTGCAAAAAATTAAATGTATTATTTGTATATTATTTTAAAATTTATTTTTATAAAAACTCGCAATAATAGGTTTTCATTGTAGTGTTTTTATAACTACCTTTATAGCAAGTGGTATTTTTGAATAAAATTTTAAGCAAATTAACAACAGTACAAAAACGCTAAAGTTGTTACATGAAGGACTAATTCTAGAAAATGTTACGTTAAGTGATGGCACAATATTAAAAGTATGCCAGCCATTGTATGGTATGACATAGAAATGAGTACTAATCCTTGTCCTTGAACATCTTCAACTCTCCTGAAGTGTTTATGAAACCCCGAAAACACACAAACCACACACATGGTGCTTAGACAGCAGATCCTCTACTAGCACCAGATTGGAAGGGAAATGTTTTGCCACAAAGAGATTACAAAATATTAATTGACTCAAAGACCTCCAGTGATGCCAACCATATTTCAAGTAGTGTTTTGGATGCAGGATATGCACAGTAAGGAAAAATAGCTGTTGCTCTGAAAGGTAATAGTCTAATGAAGAAGGCAGACACATCAGAAAAGCACAACAAAAGGCTATAGGTGCTGAATTAAGTCCGCTTACATACACAGTACAACAACCAGAGCAAAATGTTGGTAAAATAGACAGAGGAGTGTTCCAAGATGTAGGAGGAAAACCAGATGAGCGGTCTCCTTGGGAACCTTAAAAGTGCTCCGGTGAACTTGACAATACCACTGAATACTGGATTCACATCAATGATTTTATTTCAGTGTAATCTTGAATGGTTTCTGCTCATCTGGAAAAAGAAACAAACATACATTTTGCAGGTGTATATTTACAATTCTTCCAAGAAGCAGAGTTATTAAGGACATATTAGGTGCAGCAATCATTTGGTATTTAGAAAGCCCACACAGGCTCTAAGGCAAATGCAATGTGAACATAGATAAGCAGTTGGAGGAATTACAGGTACACAACGTACACACATATACCTCCCTCCTCTCTCTCTTTCCCCCTCCCTCCCTTTCTCCCTCCCCCTCTCCTTCTCACTCTCAAAAAATTGTGACACCAATGATACCAGAGGGGAATTAGAAATTAAGTTGCAAAAAATTAATCAATTCTGCCTTCTAGACTGGAGTCTAGACTTAAAGGACTAAATCAGGCTGGTGGCCACATAGTAATACAAATGGTCATGTCCAATGAACTGTTAACCATTACACAGAAGTGTGTTTCTTATTCCACTTAAAAAAATCTCATTGTATCATCTACAATGGCACACAAACCCAAACACACACACACACACACACACACACACACACACACACACACACACACACACACGCGCGCACAATTTTAAAGTTTGACACATTGCTGACTCTAGCAATAACAAGTACAAGTAAAGCCTCCACTGCATTTCTTGACAGGATTTCTAAGGTTTGTATAAAAAGAAATATCCATAAAGCCAAATTCAGTATATCTGTAATGCCAATAGAACTTAAGGTTAATGGGGACAAACTGCAGAATCTACTAGAAACGTTTTAACTAGTAAAAGTAATTTTGATTGGAATTAAAAATAAGTGCCTCAAATTAATCATATACTCTTTCATTTGGTAAGAGATCAAAGGATATTTTGAAAATTAAGGTTAAAATTTAAATATGAAGTAAAATTTTTCATAAATGGAAAGCACAGTTCTTCAGAAAATGCAAGGACTCCACTTTTAGAAGCTTAAAACAGTATTAACTCTGAAATAACTAGAACCAAATGGAAAAAGACATTTGAATGCTCTGAACACAAATCACACAAAAAGGCACTAAGAACCAGTTCACATAGGGTTCAAGACCAAAATGATCTCTGGTATTAAAAGATAGAAGGAGCCTAGTATAGTGATGAAGACAAATACAATGGCTTTAGTGGTAGAGACAGAAAGTATGAGTTTCAGGAGCTGCAGACAG